TGTGTTAAAGGCTTAGTCCCCAAGGTGGCACTGTTGGGAGGTGGTGGAACCTTTACCAGGAGGGGCCTTGTGAGGGCATCTTAATAACTCCCCACCTCTCAGCAGCTCATCCACTCCTGTGAGAGCTAACCCACCCCAAGAGGCCAGCACTAATCCCTTCACAAAGGAATCCATGACCAGTCACCTCCCGCTAGCCCACCTCTTAGAAGCCCCTCACCTTTCAATACAGTTACCTGGACAGCACGTTTCTAGCATGTGACATTTCAGGTAACAAACTCTATCCAAATCTGTCCAATAAACACCTGGTGGGTGGACACAATATTCTAGAAAACAAAAGGAAGCAATTAACATTTTTTGAGTAGATCCCTGTCCTGTTATTTCTACTCAATGCTGTTCCTTCGGAATGATGTCACTTTGTATTCAGACAGTGCAGAGAAGGTTTATTTATTCTCTAGTAACAAGGAATCTGAAGAACCTGGGCTCAGGAGGTTTAGCAATTGCCCTCATTCACACTGAGAGTCCTTGGTGCCAAACTGGATTGGAATCCATGTCCCTCTTCTCTAGAGCCCATGCTGTTTTGCCACTGTATCCTGTCATGGCTGCAGTGCTGGGCACAGGACACAAAGAAAGCACACATTAGTGGCCATGAGGACGATGACGAGGTTCTTCTTTGTGTGCAGTATCATGATGGTCTTGACCCACCTGCTGGTCTCTTGCCCTTGATGTTGACCCTGATGTTGCTCTTKATGACCAGAAGCTCCCTGGTGAGACACATTAAGAATGGAGCTGGACATGCAGGACCAKGGTTAGGGGAGAGTCTTTTCATGGCAAGTAGGGGTGAGAAGCAAGAACTAAAAATAAAAAAATTTGGAATATTCTCCTCTCACAGTCCGGCCTCAGCTGGGTGTCCCATTGGATGCTCAGCCACTCAACAAACCTCAGGGCTGCTGTCACACGTCTCCCAACCACTTTGTCACTGATAATCTGGCTGACTCTTCCTAGCTGAGCTTGTGCTATAATGTCCCCCAAAGGCTCGTGTGAGGAAATCTGGGTCAGCCAGGCAGCCATGTTCAGAGTTGGGATTTTTGAGGAGAGCCTGGATCATGGGTCCTCTGGTCTCGCTGATGGATTAGCCCATTAATGGGTTCGTAACTGAATGGAYGACTCGAAAGTGATGGAAACTACCGGACGTGGAACCTGGCTGGAGAAAGCAGGTCACTGAGGGAGTGTCCTAGAAGGTTACCTGTTCCCCCTGTGACCCTTTCTGCCCCACTCTTTGCTTCCTGGCCACCATGAGGTGAGCAGCTCTGCTCTTCCATGTTCTCCCGCCATGATGTTCTACCTCAGTAAAAGCCCAAATCTATWGAGGCAAAATGACCTTGTACTGAAACCTCTGAAGCTGTGAGCCAAAATAAATCTTTCCTCTTTTACATTGATTTTCTCRGGCATTTTGTCACAGCAATGAAAAGATAACACAAGTGCCTTATATCCTAGTGCGCAGCATTCCAACCTGCGCACAGCAGAAACTCAATAAATACTTGCTGATTGCTTCATCAGTGTAATCTGTGGGCTCATGTAAATTTCATGGCCCACTTCTCCACTTCTTAATCTCTCCATTTCTCACAGACAGACTTTGGAAGGAGCTCCCATGGAATCCTAAGCAGTCAAGGCCATAAATTCTCTCAGGGGTAAATAAACCCTCCCTGGGTGCTAGACAAGGGACTCGTTGACTCTACCTGAAACTGCAAAGAGGACTTTGGTCCTTGAAAGAGAAACCTAATATATGTTCCTTCATCTGGAATTTCTGGACCAGCTGGAAGAACCAGCAGACTGAAGAAGGAACCCCGAGGACTCACCAGGACACAAGGTAAGGTTCCCGGGAGTTCCTCTGAGAACCTCCACAGAGACTGGGTCACTTCAGGAGAGACCTGGGCCCTAGACAGGACCTGGGAAGTGCCTCTTGGGAGCTGCAGGGAGTCAGGATGCTCCTGTAGGTGAGCAAATCCAGCCTGATGGGGCCTCTCAGCTACCTGGACTTGGAAAAGGGGGGCCAGGCCACCTGGGAGGTAACCGAGAGTCAGAACAGGTCCCTGAGGCTAGTTCCCATCTCTGCAAGGACATTGCAGTCTCCCCCCAGAAGSCTGGAAAMCCTGCATSTKCTGGGAGACCCCTTGAGTCCAGCCCTGGGTGCCCTGTGATCAGGATTATTCAGGGCCTGGAGCTGGCGATGCAAGGAAGCCTTCGGACAGACCTCCTGCTTTGCTCCTTGCCGGAGACCAGCTCCAACAGGGGGTCTCAGGAGACCCCCTGTTGGAGACGGATGGTGAGGAGTTGTTGAAAGGGGGGTGGAGAAATAACACAGACACCAAAGTGAAGGTGCTGAATCCCAATCTTTACTTGTGAAGTTAATCATATATACTTTTCATTTTGGCAGGCTCACAGTACTTTGTGGTTACAAAACAGGAATCATTATTCAAAGAAACAAARTATTAMRYAGCTACAATTAGAWWAGAAGAATGTHTCTTGGCTTAKGCATAAGCAAGCATTTTTACTTTCAGTTYSTGTTTTGCTTTGAGCTGTTTCYGCTTAGTTARCTTTYAATAATAGTTAGAAATGTCCCAGACTCTTGGCTTATACCTTGACTGTTCTTTCTTGACTTACTGACTGGAACCGGTGCCATGGTTACAGCAAGTGGTTCACTTGTTATTAATTTTTATCAAACAAGAGTAAGAGCACAAACCATTGTGCACAGGAACAAGAACAAGTTGCCCAGTACTAAGCACTAATCTGTCTTCTTAACATTAATTCTTCTTCTCTAGATTTTAATTTAATTTCTCAAAAACTTCCCTGACAGGAATACAGGGAGTTTTTCATTAAACATTAACAATTTATGCTCCACAGCTGAATCGTTGCATTTAGAGCAAACAGATCTATTCTTTAGAAGTAGTTGCATTAATAGGGGAAGTCATGTTTTTTCCTTCATACTTAATGGTCCTATGAGAAGTCACAACTATACTTATTAAAGGAATACAGAAACAAACCAGCCCATTCCCAGAAACATACTGAGCTCCTCCAGAGGATGGACGCCTTGCGCCATCCACCTCAGTAGGGCCTTGCCTTTGCCTGAGTCAGGGGAGGGGCGCAGCAGCTCCTGATGGTTTCCTGGCAGGAAGCAGAACTGAATGGGTCTCGGGGGCCCCTTACAGGGCTCAGTCTTCTGTGCCCATTGTCAGGTCTTCAGTTGTCTTGTTTGTCACACATAGAAGAATGAAGCCTGCTCTGAAAAGGAAGAGAGAACTAATCCATTGTCTCAGGTCATGAAGCAGAGCCTGGCATGCAGCACAGTATTCATGAAAACAAAAGCTTTAATTCTCATAATTCACACCTCAGCATCAGCATTTCCTAGCTGTGTGTCTGTGCTCCAGTTACCTAACCTCTCTCAGCCTCCAGTACCTCAGCTGCAAAATGATCATGGTAATAATGGGTCACTGGAGGAACCAGTGCAGGCCTGAGAGGCATAAGCACTSSTGGTGGCTRTGGTTGTTCTTATGACCCACTCCCCTAGGAACCCTGCCCTTCCTTCCCAAAGCCAGGAGGGCTCGGGTCTAAGAGGTTGCACGAGCTGCCTGCCACAGCCTCCGTCTGCACTGTGGAGTCTCCTGGTGGATCTAAGATCCCTTTAGAACAGTGACAGCACCTTGAAGTGTGCCTAGCAGCCAGGAAGGAGGAGTCTGAGGCCCGAGGCCACTACTAGAGCTGACCATGCACAGGCGGGCCCTTCCGGCTCACTGCCTCCTCTCCCTGCTTTGCAGAGATGTGGGTAAGAGCCACCTGAGCAAGAAGTCCTGGGGAATGGCTCAGCTGCCAGGTGGCAGACAGGTGTTTTCTTGAGCAGTAGCAGAGCTGCACGGGCCTTGGAAACCAGCTAGAAGGTAGAAGAGGGAAAGCGAGGAATTTCCTGAATTCCTGCAGAGCCCACGTTTTCGACATTTGGGATCCAAGGAAAGGGAAGTCACAAGGAGAAATGGGGGGTGTTTCTGAACAGTCATGGGTCTCAATCTTCTGCAGCAAATCCCCACTCCTGGAGTCTCTGATCCAGTAGGTCTGTGGAGTGGACCGAGAATTCACATTTCTAGCAAGTTCCCTGGTGATCCTGAACCTGCTGGCCTGGAGACCACATTTTGAGATCCCCTACTGTAAGTATTGCAAACAAAATACTTTGGGGTTAATTAGGAAAAATGTTCAAAACAGGGGGCCTTCTGTTGTGGACGGTCTCTCTACTTCAACAGAGAACGAGTATAAAGTGGGTGTTTCCCCTGGGCCAGGCTCTGTGCTGCAAACACCCATGATAAGAGGCCGAGAACTTCTTATCATCTCTGCTTCATAGATAGGAGAGTGAGAGCTATGCCACGGGCTCAAGGTCATGAAACAATTAAATGGAGAAACTGAGAAATGACCCCAGGGCTATCTGATCTCGTAGTCCCCATGCTGTCTGCGCCTTTATTTTCTAGACGATTAAACATTAAACACTATCAATCCTTCAGTCAGCCCCAAACCCAAGTTGGCTGTGGGCAATTCACAGTGTTTCTCACTCTGTCAGCAGCTGGGACTCTGGGCTCTAGGATGGGTTCACTTTATCTTTATGGCTGGTGTAGAAAGGGCAGGAGCCTCCTGAGCACTTATGGCTGGATCAGGTCTGCAGCATTTGGTACCAGAGAGGTGGTTTTCTGCCAGCAAGGAGCATACAATTTTGGTGACACAAGCCCAGCAACCAAAACAACCAACAGCCCCAGGTGAATCACACAAGCTACCTTCCCCTGCTCTGCATGGGATCTCGTCCCACCTAGTGCTGCTTCAAGGGTCTCAGGAGGCCACACATCGGCCTGTGCCCTTTGCAAGCTTGCTGAGCTGAGCTGAGCAGCACAAGAGTTTAGAGCTTCTCCAGATCCCCGTTATCTGAGGTCAACCCAGGACTACATTCACGCTTTTCTCAACTGCCTCCTCTACTCAGAAATCAATTGAAACTGCGTGTGATTCAGGGTTTGGCCATTCTCAGACCCTCTAGGACCCCAGAACATGGCACGGAACATGTCATTGGCATCATTTCCTRCATTTGATCCCAAGAAATTCATCAGTTAAACACAGACCAACAGAATTCAACAAAGCGTCTCTGTGGTCCTGATCCCAACACCAGGTGGACAACCCTCAGGAAGAGGGGACAAGATGGGCATTCCCAGGCCACCTGGTCCACTGTCCCCCTGGGTGGCAAGGGTACATGGAGCCTGGGAAAGACAGTCTGCCTTTTCTTTCTAAAGCCAATGAGTGTTAAGGAACCATCCATAAACTAGCTGAATTAAACCCAAGAGCTAGCTAGCTGCTCATAGACTCCAAGAGCGAAAGTAGGTGGGGCTGATGAGAACCTTGAACCAGAAATTAAAAGGGCACAATCAAAGTCTCCCCTCCTGCTCCCTCCATCCGTGGTCCTCATTCTCCTTACTCTGAAGGGCTATCTCTTCCCCACTGCGCATGACATGTGCTTGACCCTCCAGCTCTGTATCACAATCTCACAATAGTCCTCAAGTGCAATCCCAAGTCCCCAGGAGAAAGGAACTATCAGCCATTCAAGGTCAGCTGTGCATCCCCAGAGCCACCCACAGTGGCCAGGGTAAGGGGCAGGAGGGCCTGTGCCCATTCTGCACACTCAAGGTAAGCAGACTGAAATACCAACAGCAGAGGCCTGAACAAAACCACCAGCCAAAAGGTACCCAGGGTCGACAGGAGCTAAGCAGCCAGGAGACCTAGTCTCCAAATCCACCCCCACATACAGAAAATAGAATGTCCCTAGAACATGGACTCCCAGGAAGGAAAGTAGCTTATTGGGTAGAGCAGCGTGGTAGGTGGTTTCCATTTTAATGAGAATGAAGCTGAACATAAGAATGAGRACAGATGGGTCATGCATTTTGTCAGAGGAGGAAAATGCACCTTCTTGTGTGTTCTGTGGCAGCTGCACACCATGTCCACACTGGAGAGTGGAACCAGCAATGTGCCCAGTGCTCATGCCCCAACAAGTGTCCATGTCATCCAGCCCCGGTATCCGGTGACTTCAGAAAGCCACAAGCAACCTTCAGGGTTCACCACTTACCCACCCTCCATGACAGTGGTCCAGTGTGATACAGGAAGAACAAACTTAGCGCAGCCATTCCTAGTGTACCAGAATGCAGCGGGGGTGACCGGTGCACAGGGCCAGCTCACTGTGCTCCAGCCTCCAGCAGGAGGGCCTGGTTTGCAGACTTCGCCTGGAGTRACCCAGTACCCACTGGGAACAGCCCGTGTCCAGACCCTGCCTGGAGACCCTGAGAATCCTGCCATCGCCATCCCCGGGCTGACCCCCACCTCAGGCCAGTCCCCGTCGAACATGGCATGGAACATGTCATTTGCATCATTTCCTGCATTTGATCCCAAGAAATTCATCAATGATGAGGTCAGAACATTAGGGGTAAGTGCAATGTCTTTTCTTCTGCTTGGGTCACTTCATAAGGCCACTTCTGTCTGGTGCAGTTAGATGAGGAAGGTGAAGATCTGGAGAGCAAAGAAAAAAGCAGGTGACAGTTTCTGGAGGCTGGACCCGGGAGGTCCCACAGACAGCAGTCCCCCTCCCCATCTCCCTCCCTCTCTCCACCAGTTCCCTGGTCTTTAGGGAGGCTGTAAAGTTGGTTAACCATCCCCTTCCTAGTTGTCAGGGCCAAAGGTCCACATCAGTTTCACTCAAAAGACCATCGACCAGGAAGTCATGTGATCCGGGTTTCGGGGCTGGCTGGAGGCTGGGCGGACTCGGGCACATCCTTCCCTCTCTGGGCCTCAATTTTCTCATCGCTAAAGGGAGCAGATCTAGTGAGATCCTCTCTTAAATCCCTTCAGGCCCTGAGGCTCTGTGATCCCCTCCTCAACCAAAGGGATCCTGACCCTGACCTGCCTCCGCCAGCCTCATCTGGCCCCTGGAAAAGCTCCGGTCATCCTCCTCTTGAGGCAGAAGCCAGATCAGTCCTGTGGCGGACTGGCGGCCCAGCCAGTTCCTAGCAAGGGGACTGGCTTATAACAGATCCTCAGTCTGTACACACTCACCGTGTGACAGGGACTCAGAGCTGACCAGGACACCACCCTCAAAGACCAAGGAGGGTCTTCACTCCATGGCAGCTACTGCAATTCTAACAGCTTCTGGCGTGGCCAGAGGATGCATGCACCGCTCATCCTGGGCGCCCAGAGAGCTTCTGTGTGAGGTTGGAAGGCCAGGAAGCCAGAGAGCAAGCACAGGTCGGGAAGAGGCTGACTCACGAACCCCCCCCCCCCCCCGTGGGTGGGTATGGTTAGCGCAGGCCCCCAGGTGCCCATGTGCTGGACACTGTGTTCCCACCAGCAGGGCGATGTTGAGAGCTGATGAGGAACTGTAAGAAGTGTGGCACAGGGGAAGTGCTTGGGTCATTGGGTTCAGAAGAGAATAGCATAGTCCCCGTGGGGCTTCTGATTAGATGTCAGGAGCGGGTTCTGATCAAAATGGCAAGAGTGGCCCTTCCCCATCCTCTCTGGTTTCTCTCTTTCTGGCATGAGCTCCCACCATGATGCCATCTGCCTCAATGTGACACAGCCAGGGGGGACTCACCAGATCCTGAATCATGCAGTTTAAGCTTTTAGCCTCCATACTGTGAAAAATAATCATCTTTTCTCTGCATATTACCCAGACTCAGGTATTCCGTTGGAGCAACAGAAAACAGAMTAGCACACACCCCAATCTATCCCTCCTCATTGATCCTTCAGGAATAGAAATGTGGGTTTTACCAATGACAAAACTTATCAAAATCAATCTTAGACTAAGTTCCATAAAACAGTGTCAAGAAAACAAATGCTGGTTGTGAGCATCAAGTGAGATTAGACATGTGTGTGGACCCTTCGAAAGGTAGAGCTAGCCTATGATATTGCACAGTGATTGGGATTTTGTAACATGATTACTCTCATTATTAATTAATACCGGATAAATCCTTGTTGATTTTGGCTTCCAGTGATTTTAAGATATTTTGGAAGAATTTGAAAATTTCTCAAAACAGAATTGAGTCAGCAAATGCCCGGGGATCCTGGTCAGCCACAGTGAAAGCTAAAAATGTGGGCTGTCTTTCATGGATTGAATTTCATTTTTAATTCGAAAATTATGCCAGGCTTCTGAAATACAGACCTAATGAGAACACAGACAAAAATCAAGCACATTGTCTTGTGAAGGGACGATCGTGTGAAATGCACATCTGTCACCAACTCATAGACACATGGGCCAGGAGAGTGGGACGCATCTGCTCAACCCTGGTCATTTGACCCTTGAGGAAACTGAGGCCCAGAGACGTCCAGAGCCACCTCCCACCTCTCAGGAATATCCATGCCGTGGGAGCCCAAATAGGAGGGGATCCATTCTGATGGGTCATCAGAAAAGGTTTAGGTGACCCGTAAGAGAAGGTTAGAGAAGAAGGAAGGATAAGAGGGACAGGAGGTCTCCCAGGGCATCCATTGCCGAGGGAAACTGGCTAGTCATGGGAATGGCCGAAAAGAGAATTCAGGTGTGGGAAAGTGTCCGTGGAGGGCTTCCACACACCTCCCTGCAGGAACTGGCCAACGAGCTTCATGTGCGCTGCAATCTCGCACGAGCCCTGCAGGCCAGCTTCTGAGAGCCCACCTTAGAAGGAAAGAAACCTGGGCACAGAGAGGTGGTCCCTCGAGTCATTCTGGAGCATCAGCGTGGCTGGAAGAGCAGCGTGGCAGCCCGTGGCCCCCAGCTCTGCCTCTCACCATCCTCTGGTCTCCTCCTAGGCCATCCAGATCATCATTGGCCTGATGCACATTTTCTCTGGGATCATCCCTCTGCTGTATTCCAAGCTTTCTGTGACTGGAATATCAGGGTATCTGTTCTGGGGAGGATTATCCGTGAGTACAAAGCCTCCTTCCTGGGTCACCCAAGGGGGGCAAGGAGAACATAAAGAAAGAGCAGGAATTTCCACTCAYAGTCATAGGATGCTCAGAGCCAAGAGCCAGCCCTCCACCTCTGCAGGTGTAGCAAAAGGTCAGCATCCAATTCACACCTGCCCAGCAGCAGCCCCTGCCTCCAGGGCACATTTGGGACACAAACYTTTATTGCTTTATGCCTTCTCCACTGCACTTCCTCAGGGCTCTTTCTAGGAAACATCTCATAGGTAAATCACAGCATATTCAGTCGTGTGCTCGGGAGACACCTGCCTGCCAGCCACGGCAGCTGACTGTAAAATTGTCAGGAATTAGGTAAGCTGGTTGCCGAGCTATTTGTCAACAAATGATCTGCTGTTCTGCACCAAAGAAATCAGCAAATACTGCAATCCAGAGACTTTTCCAAAGCCACTGGCACCTCAGCAGGCAGATGAGAAGCCTTTCTGCTGACAGGCCACTAAGAATATGGAACTGAAGAAGTTAATTAACAGAGAAATGGACACCCATGTTGAGTGATTCTACTTGTGTGAGGGACCTAGATGAGTCAAATGCATAGAGAGAGAGGTAGCCCGGTTGTTTCCAGARGCTATCCAATGGGGAGGTGGTATTGAATGGGGACAGTTCAGTGTGGGACAAGGAAAGGGATCTGGGTGTGGATGGTGGTGTTGCTGGTGCACAGTGCTGGTGAACTGCACACTCAAAGGTGGCTGGAATGAGTTTTAGGACTGTGTGTCTAAAGGGAATAAAAATTAAAAATTTTTAAAAATGAAGAGATAGGTATCCATGACCTAACTCAAAACTYGAGGCATCACCAAGTTTTAAAACCCCAAGAGTATCCGCTCCCTGCTTCTAGAAGTGGCCCCTATTCTCCATTTTGTGTTTCTCATTCCCGTTCTTTGTGGTCCAGCCACATGCACCCACACGGCGTGCCTTTGCACGGGTATAAAGCCATGTGAATGAAGCATGCTGCATCTTCACGCAGCTCGCTCTGTCCCACTGCATATTCTGTTTTGGAGATTCGTCTGTGCCACAAGCAGCCATAGTTCATGTTGCACTGATGGATCGTGATCTGCTGCATGAATATGCTACAATTTACTTGTCCATTTTCTTCTCAACAAATATCTAGGTTGTTCTTAGTTCTGGGCAGTGCAAACCGTGCCACTGTAATTGGTTGTGTGTTGCACGTGGGCAGGACTTCCTGTGTTAGCACACTGTAAGTGGTCCCAGATGTGCCTTGAGATATTGCCCCAGAGCCCAATGAGATTTGTGGAAACCAGGGCAAACGTTAAAACTTCTGCCAGTCTGGTGGGAAATTTGAATTTCCATCTAATTATCAATGCTTTGAGCATCTTTTCATTATTGAACATTCAGTTTTCCCTTCTCTACTGACATGCCAATTTTCTTTTTTTTTTTTTCTTATTTTCTTTTGGGTTGTTTGTCTTTTTCTCCTTGATTCATTTGGGTTCTTTGTAAATCCATGCTTCTTCTTTATTTTTTTTTTCAAAGAGAGAGTGAGAGAGGGGAGAGAGAGAGAGAGAGAGAGAGAGAGAGAGAGAGAATTTTTTTAATATTTATTTTTTAGTTTTTGGCAGACACAACATCTTTGTTTGTATGTGGTGCTGAGGATCGAACCCGGGCCGCACRCATGCCAGGCGAGCGCGCTACCGCTTGAGCCACATCCCCAGCCCCGCTTCTTCTTTATTGATAATAATAATCTTCCAGTTTTTTGACTGATCCTTTGATTTTTGGCTAAACCTTTCTTTATGATATCTCCTGATGGACACAATATCTTCACCTGAATGTGTCCTAATTTGTCAAAATTTTTGTGTTTTGTGCTTTTAGTGTCTTGTCAAGGTAATCTTTTCCTGTCCTAGGTCATAAAGAGGTTCTTCTATGTTTTCCTCTGAATTTGTTTTAAGTTTACTTTTACACTTAAATCCTTAATTTATTAGGGATTGATTCTGATTATGTTATGTTAATGTCCAATTTTGATTTTTTTTTGTCTCTGTGAATTAGTAATTGTCCTAGGCTCTCCTTTGTCTGCTGACCTAAAAAGCCAAATATCATATGTCACATATGAATATGTGTGAGTCTGCTTCTGAGACCTCTCTCCTGTTCCACGTTGCTTGATCTGTCTTTGTAATTCTATATTACACTGTATTGATTACTATGTCTTTATGCTAAATATATCTAAAATTTCCTGGAATTTGTTTTCCTTTTTAGCCAGGAGAGCCAAAACTAATGTTAGCTTTTGATCATCCATCTATATTTCATGTTCCAAGAAACATTCTACTAAAAATTTTCTTCCGACTCTTCCAAGTGGCTTTTTTAAGCTGCAATATACTTTGATAGATATTTTTATTGTGTTATTTTAATGGCACAAAATTATGAGATACAGTGTGATAATTTCGTACATATAGACTTTATGATGATCAAATCAGGTCAATTGAACTTATTCTGAAGCCACAGATCAACATGGAAGGAATTCATGTCTTGCTGGCATTTATTCTTCTGATCTATGAATAGGCATCAGAATTTAATACCTTTCAACATTTGTTAATTTTTACATTAAAAACTTTCATATCTTTATTACATTGTTCTGTAATTTTTTCTTCATCTCAAACATCTCTTGCTAGTATATAAACATGCAATTGACTTTTGCATATAAATCTCACATCTAATTAAATTACTAAACTTTCTTATTAATTCTAGTGATTTGCTTCTAGAATCTTTTGGGATTTCTGTGTAGACTATGATATGTACTAATAATCACCCTGTTAGTGCTTCATACTCAATCTGTCCATGGTTTTTGTTTTCTTGTCTTATCATACTGGCTAGTACCCACTTCGGCTGTTTTAGATGCAACTGTCTGGGACTCACTTATCACTTTTAGGATTTCAGATCATCCAGTTCAAAGCTCCTTTCCAATGTACAAGCAACAGACAAAACACGTTTTTAGAGCAGTGGCCAGTTATAACCATTTCTCATACAGCATCTCAATCATCTCGTCAATAGAATAGAGGACTGGGTTGTTGTTCTGTAGTAAAGGGCTGGCCTCGCATGTAGAAGGTCCTGGGTTTGATCCYCAGCACTATTTTTTAAAGGTAACATAAATAGAGAGTCTTTTTTACACATAAGGGAATGGAAGAGGCTTCAACAGAAATTCACAGAGATCTCTTATCTGTGCCACTATTCTATTCCAGGACGTCCTTCCTGAACTGCAAGGGACTTTGGTGGCATGGTTTTCAGCACTGTCACAGATCATCAGATATGTCAAATAGTTTCTTTAATCCACTGGGTTATTTTAAGACTTGGCATTTTTAAATTTGTTTGACAAACCTATTTGATTGCCACCAATTGAATGCTACTACTGACACTGGATTGACTAAAAATTCAAATATAGTGGCCTAGAAAGACTTATATGCAAAACACAAATTCATAAAGAAACACTCAGATCAGGTAGATAGCATATATATTTCCCTACGGACAAATAGAATGCTCAACAGTGCCCCCAGGACATAACGCTGGGTCAGCCAGACTCTGCACTCACCTGTTACCTGTAGCGATGGCACTGCCAGAGAGAAGTTTGCCAAAGAATAGTGGCAATATCTGGGTACAGAGGAGCATTGCCATGGGGACACTCAGACCAAAGCAAACTGTGGGCAGAGTCGAGGAGGTTGAGGCAAAGGCGAGTTTTATGAGCAAAACGAGAGAAATCCACATAGGTGGCTTGGACAAAAAAGTTCACTGGTTTCGAGAGCCAAGGCAACAATTGGCTTGGCTCAGTGGTGGAGGTGCCTTGCTGGCCAAGTGCCTGTCCAGAACATCTGGTCTGTATTGTTGTAGCCTAAAAGAATATTAAAGATAGACTTTGTTCCAGAAATATGTGCATATGTATCAACATGCAGAACCAGTTTTGTGTGCAGAAGAGGAAGGAATTTCCATTGGAATTTTAGGAAGTCCTGAAACAGCACTGATGTCAGAAGAGCAGGCATGAAGTCTCCCTCTCAAACATCCTGGCTCTCACTTTCTGTGGACTGACAAGACCAAAGGTGTCAGCAACGACTGCACACTCATAACCTTGACCCAAGCTGCAAGCACAAGTGTATACAGCAGTGACAGGAATAAGTGTCTCTTGGAGAAACCACTGGAACACAATGAAGTCCCCCTGTGAGGAAAGTCTCAGGCTGAGGGCTGCAATCAGCACATGGTGGGATGATCAAGGCCGCCCCTTGCTGCTGTCCTCTGCCAGAGCCCTGCTGCAGGTTCCCAAGCCAGGCCCAATTTTATGCTCCAGTCCTGCTGCCTTCTAGCCTCCCACAGTGGCACAGGAAGTGAGTTCTTGGAGGAGAAACTTTAAAAGAGACCAGGATGGGAGAGAATTGAACAACAGCAGAGAAGGTAGAGAGGGAAGATGGGAGGGGAGGGGGGATAGTAGGGGATAGGAAAGGTAGCAGAATACAACAGTCACTAATATGCCATTATGTAAAAATGTGAGCATGTAACAGAAGTGATTCTGCAATTTGTATTTGGGGAGTTCAAAACCCAATTGAGTCAAATGTATGAAAGATGATATATCATGAGCTCTGTAATGTTTTGAACAATCAATAAAAAAATGAAAATTTAAAAAAAAAAAAGAGAGCCCAGGATGCCCTGGAAATCTCCCTGTCCTCCCCACTGAGAATACCATTCTAATTCTCCCACTTGAATGGCATGTCTCATTTGGAGGTAGACAGGGCAGGGATCATTATCCAAGTCCATTGTCTAGATGAGGAGACTGAATTTGGAAAGGTTAGATGCTACCATCACACCCTCATGGACAGAAAGTTCTGGAAGAAGGAGCTGAGTCCAGGCACCTACTTCAGCCTCTTCTAATTAGACTGAGCTTAGAGTCCAGCCTCGAGTGTCCATGCCCATCACCTRCCTTGCATCATGGAGTGCTAGTTGGGACTCTCATGCTGGGTCCTGGAGCACAGTGAGGTGACCAGTCACAGAAGTGGAGCAGGATCCCAGGTCTCCTGACTCCCAGCACCAAGGCTCTGCCCACCACACCAACCTACCCTTGGTTGTTACCCTTGGTTGTTAGGCAGAGTGAGCAGTGAGTTTGGGCAACAACATGCCCAGGCAATGACCTCAAGGAGAAGCTGTAGAAGGTGATGATAATGAGACAGAGCACCCTGGAACAAGAGTCAGAGGAAGGGAGGCTTTAGACTCGGCTCACAGGGGTCAGAGCATCGCAGCACTCAGTGCGCTGGGCACGTCCACTGGGATGGGGAAAATGTTGGAAAGAAGTAAACAGTTTGCATATTTTCTGGAACAAAATGTGTAGAACTTGCAGACTGAGGGATGATCCACCTCTGATTGGATGGCTGTCATTTTTAATGTTCTGCAAAACGTATCATTCTTTTTTGTCTGCATAGTACATTGCCTCTGGATCCCTGTCTGTATTGGCTGAGAAGGACCCCAGCCCATGTGTGGTGAGTTTGATGCCTTCTTTGGTGACCCTGAGTGTTAGCATTTTCTTCTAATCATGGGAAACAGATCCCAGAGTATCGCTGTGAACCTGCACTCCGTTCAGAACCTTCACACACCTCATCCCATTCTGTCTGCACGACTCTAGGAAGTTCTGCCATCCCTGTATTGTAGATGAGGAAACTGAGGCCCAGAGAGGTCACATGTCTTCTGGGAAGTCACACACTGAACTGGGACTTGAACCTTCAGCGCTGATTCCAAACCTGTGCTTCCAGTTATCACAAGAATTCAGTTGCTAAAAACCACTTGGCTATTTGGGAAACTCGTGAGAGTTTGCAGAGCGGTGCCCGCAGGGCGGCTCTGCGTCAAGCAGGAAGCCAGGCCTGGGCCACAGGGGATGGTGCACTGCAGCCGCCTCCCTGGCACTTCCTGTCTTCCTCTTTGGCTGGACCTGGGAAGTCTGCTTTGAACAACGTGGAGTCCCAGCCACAGGGCACAGGGCATAGCATTCCCTGGGGCCTTAGGGTGTCACTCAACATCCAGAAAAATATCTGCTGATGGGTTGAGTTTGTTGTGGCCTCTAAGAAGCTTGGGAATGAGTGCAGAGCTCCATGGTGGCCCCCTTCACCCCTGCCCCAAGCCCTCCTTCCCCTTAACCCCTTCTCCCCTCTGCAGGCATCGGATCTGTCTCCCGCCATGTGAAGAAGGCAGTAGGCTGAGGGGCTGGGTGATCTCACTGCAGTGTCCCCAGACACCAATCTCCTTCCCCAGGACAAATGTTCACTGCCCCCATCTGCCTTCCTTACTTCATCCCTCCCAAAGCCAGCACCCCCCAGATACCCCAACATCGGCTCAGCTCACACTGCTTCTTCAYGTCCCAACAAGACTGGTTGAACACTGTCCCCCAATCTCTGGGGAGTCGAGAGCCCTCTAATGGTGTCTGCCAATTCCTGGGCATCCCCTAACCCCCTTGCTCTGCTGTGGACATCTGAGTGACATCTCTGCTTCAGGCTCTATGTCCCACAGCTGTCCCGGGCTCAGCCCAAATGTGGCCCACAGCCCCCCGTCTCCTTCCCCATACCCCTCAGGGAGGCAGCCTGAGTAGGAGTCGGTGTGAACAAYTGCAGGACGTCAGCATCTCATCACGGAGAAGCAGATCCCTTAACATTGACCCTTAGACTTTCTGGCCCTGAAAACCTTCCCCTGTCACCCTCCAGCCCAGGCTGCAGCCCTCCCCCTCAGGAGCCACGTCCCTCCCACGCCCTCCTCCCAAGGCAAGCCTGGGATCCCTGCTCAGCTCCCTGCAGCGCACCTGGGCCCTGTCCTTGTGTCTTTCCAACCCAGCCTTCGAACCTCATTTCCTGTCCCTCTACTTAGTGAGGTGTTGGCCAAGCAAAGGSGGCCCCGGTCCTAAGGGGACCTGCACAGTGATTTCCGAACAACTCCCACCTCACTCTGCTTGGAATCCACTGGCTTCTTACCTCTTTCCTGCACAGACTTTTCTCTTTTCTCCTACCCCCCTATGTTGCCAGATGCTGGGCTTTGGGCCCTGCTCACGTTGTCTCCCTCTGTGTCCTCCAGGTGAACGGCAGCATCGCCATGAACGTGGTCAGTGCGGTCTTCTCCCTGACGGGCATCTCCATTTTCATTATAGATATGTCCGTTCAAAGTGAGGTGAGCAATGCACCTGCCTGGGCCCATGCTGCCAAAGGACAGGAGGGATCACAAGGTTGATTCCAGAGCAGGAGGGAATTCCAACACAATTCCAACCTAGTAAGATGAGCACTGTGTCCACCAAGTATGGACCCTCACCAAACTCYGTGGCTGTGGAGGCCACCATCATGAACCTCACTTCACAGAGAGGACAGAGAGGAGCAGACAGCTGAGCCCTTCTTTTACCCCCCTACATCCTGTTTAGAGGGAGCAAGTGCTCAGGTTTGCAGCCAGGGCACCTGCCACYCACATCCACAATGGAATGCACAAGATGACCTGCCCCAGGAACCTGCTGAGGGGCAGCCGATCACTGGGAGAAGAGGTGCTGAAGCTAGCTTCCTGTCTTATTTGGGGGCTGCAGAAGCAGATGCAGGAGCAAGACTCGGGTGCAGGGCATTTCTGTCAGAGGTGAACCCAGGAAGCCGCAGCAGGGGAGGGGGTACATGATAAGAGCAAGGAGGGCGGGAGGAAGCCAGGATGAAGGGTGTGGTCAGGCAGGTGACCACAGGAGCTCCCTCCTGGTGGGGGTCTGGCAGAGTAAGGAGTGGGCGTCTCAGTTCTGGCCTGTGCTGGGCAAGGGAGCGGGCAGGAGCTCCCAACTCCACTCAGTCCTTGGTTGAAAACCGCTGCTGAGGCCACCAATTCCCAGGTGCTTCCTGTCTGCCCTGCCCAGCAGTCTCCTGGCCAAGGGAAGCCCTCGGVCTTGTGATGAGGCTGGAAGACAGGTGGCGGGGGTGGAAATAGGGCCACTGGGACCCAGGAAGGACCTCAGTAGCATTGACACAGTACTCAGCAGGCCTGAAGAGCAAGGGGGAGAATAACTGTTCCCCAGTGAGCCGTGACCCTGTCCTCCCTCGGGACTAACCGAGCAGGCAGGGAGGGCTGGCAGGGCCCAGGGTCTCTATCCAGACCTGTGTGCAGGTGAGGTGCTCCCTACGGACAGGGCTCCTGCAGGCTCTAGGATGAAGTGACTCTGCTGATGTAATGTGGCATCTAGAGGATGMAGCAAGCCACAAACCAGGCCAGGTGTKGGCCTCTGGAGTCCCCTGGGTGGGACAGGATGTCCTCATCAAGGGTGGGCTATGGTCCTGGGGAATCAAGAGGCCAACATCTACTGGTCCTAAAAGCAGTCACTGGGCATCGTGACCTCTGTCATGAATGACCACTGGTGTAGTGGCACCCAGAGGCTTTGGATTCCCTTAGGCAAGGGGCCAGTTCTCTCTGCCACAGAGAGGAGGAGTGTAGAGGGGTCTGCTCAAGAGACCACTGCAGAGGGTCCCAGGCCTTCCAGATGAGGCATGTGGCACTTGTCTAAGGTGAGCCCTGAGTGTCACCTAGATAGTCAACCCGAAGGACTAAAGTGCTTCCATTCCTGTCTGCCTCTAGGTTAACATAAAGGCCTATGTGGGTAGTCTCCTGCCCTTTGTCCTCTTGGAGTTCTTCCTCACATGTGTGGTCTCGCATTTTGGGTGCCAGGCTGTCTGCTGGAGACGCTTTGAGGTAAGTGTCCCAGGAATCAGAGCGTGCTCCTGGCGGGGCGGGGGAGTAGCAAGACATGACCAAAGACAGACAAATGAGGCCTGAGAAAGATCGTATCGGTTAAGCTTTGCTGCATAACAAATGACCCCAAAATTTAGTGATTTTAAAAAAGCAACCATTTATTGAGCTCTTGATTCTGAATATAATCAATCTGGGCAATCATCAGTGAGTCCATCTGCTGGTCTTAGATGGACGCGCTCTTGCATCTGTAGCCAGCTACCAGGTGGGAAGACCTGTGTACGGAGCCCTTGATGGAACAGTTCCTCTCTGATCCATGGGCTATCTCATCCTCTGGTAGGCCAGCCTGATCTCCTTCACAGAGTGACCGTTCCACAGAGTAGTAAAACATGGCAGCTCCCTCGGCAAGCTCTTTTGTCCTCACTTGTGTCACACTTGCTAATCTTCCCGGGGCCAAAGCCATTTACCTGGCTTTGTAATCAGTTTTGCAGTTGATAAGTCTTCCCTCTCTCCAAAAATTACTAGCACTTATACAACATGCAAAATATGCTCATCCCTGTCCCAGGAAAGCCCTGTGACTAAGCCCAGCATCGGTGAGAGAAGGTCCACCAAGGCATAGAAACAGGAAGGGGAAGAATTAGTGACCATTTTACCGTTTACTACAGAAGAAGATGATGGTCTTGTGTCCTTTGCCTTTCAGAACATGACAATAGGTTCAAGCATATTCAGCTTCAACACAGCCAACATGACCGCCAGCCACATCCACACTACTGACATCCCTGTCAACGCAGCCACCAGCCCTGCCAACCCTATTACCAGCCCTGCCAACCCTATCACCAGCCCTGCCAACCCTACCACCAGCCCTGCCAACCCTACCACCGGTCCTGCCAAACCTAGCTGCCCTGACAACGTTCCTCCTGAACCCATGTACCAAGATGTACCTGATTATGGCCGGAGATAGACGTCGAGGTGCCTATTCCAAGTCTCAGGAGGAGGCCCTGCAGAAGAAAGACTCCTTACTTCCTGAACCTCCCATGACCTTGACCCTAGCTTCATTGCTAGGCCAGTATCAACCACCATCTTCTCCCCTCTTTATTCCTAAACCTGATTTTTATTTGTTACTAATATTTTTACTTCATACATATTTCCCCCTTGGCTCTAGATCTCTTTCAGCCACGGTGAACTGCGAGGTGCTTTTTAAGTCCATGGCCCAGTTGTGCACCCTATGGAGAGGCTGGCTCTAGACTGGTCTGCAGTCTGGTGGGGGTCCAACTCCCAACCTTCCTCCCCCGACTCTGACCGTGACAGTCTCACCCCCAAGGGGGAGGGAACGTGATACAGGRCGTGTGCACTGCCAGCCATCTGCGTGTGCCCCAGCACCCCTGGGTGTGTGAGCAGGAGACAAGGGGCACCCAGGCTGCCCGCTGGGGCTGCAGAACGCATGGCACCCCTCCCCCACAGACAGAGCTGCTTGGGATGGGCCATGGTGGAGGTGCCCGCGGAATCCAAGACTGCGCATGAAGGTCCTTCCCTCGGTTGCACAAAGGTGCTCTGTGGCCAGCAGTCCAGCCCATTGATTGAGAACTGGCTGCATGACTGCTCCCTCCTCTCTCTGGTGTCCCTCTGCCTTCTTTCCTGTGTGATAACAGGCCACACTGTCAGGATGTGGGGCCACAGGCCTGGTGCTCCCTCCAGGGTTCTTTCCACTGGAAGCATCTTCCAGGGAGCCTCGCCCTTGCTCATGTGGCCATGCCCCTGCCGTCCTCTGGAACCAGCTGTGCTCGGGCACCTCTTCTCCACCTGCAGCGAGGAGGGGAGGCAACAAGATGAGTGAACCCCTAGGCTACTGCAGTGCCAGCCACAGGCTCCCCACAGTCTCCTCTGGAGACACATTTGTGTCACCAGTCACCAGAGGGCCCTGAGACTACCATATTATGCTCTCCCCACACTGCGCCAGGATGTGGTTCCCAAGACCACTCTCACGCCAGAGCCACACTCTGGGGAGTAAGGGCAGTGGGCCGCTCCCATGGGCACGGCACCTGTACTTCACTGAGCGCAGGTATTGAATCTCCAGGGGTAGYACAGGTGGAKGTGAACCCATCTTATAGATGASGACACTGAGGCTGAGGGAATCCCTCCTCTGAGCCAGTCACTGAGGGGTGGACACAATGCAGGGTTCCCTGTCTGCTGACCCACAGCCAGCCCTCTTTCCACCYGACACCGGCTCATCTGGTTTCCCTTTTCCATAAAAGTCTCCATTTCTGTTCCCCAGGCAGGAGAAGACACGCCCCGCTGTCCGGGAAGCAGCATGACTGGGAGCCATCTGAGATGGTTCCTGGGAGAGCAGGGGGTTGGGTCCTTGTGTGGGGGGAGTCCACTGTCACCCACTGTTGAGCACCTCTAGAGGTTGGCATCCAACGCCTTCAGCTCAAGGCATCAAGCTCCTCATCACCTCTGCTCAGGACCTGGCCACAAGCAGCCCCCGACCTTCAGCCCCAGTGCAGAGCATGGCCCCAGTGCAGAGCATGGCCCCGGAGGGTGCAGGAGAGGGAAGGGGAGCAGGTCCATGCCGCACCTACAAGGTGCTGGACAGGGTGCTAGAAGCTTCCCTCCATTCTTGTTGTAYCAGGTGCTGTACYAGATCATAAGGGTACAACCAGGGAGTGGGAATCAAGATATTTCATAACGGATGCACAGACACTGAAAAATCACARTGGAAAAAGGCTGAGGAGCTGGGGCAGGGCGCTGGCGGGTCCCTGGTAGCCCAGGATTAACCCTTCCATTGCTGGAGCATGCAGAGGAGAAGCTATGTCAGGGGAGGGGACTGAGCACTGGGAAGGTGGGTAGGGGGTCTCCAGGGCTTGGATAAGTGGAATGAGAGCCCTTTAATATTATAGTAACCAGTCTTCTGTGACAGCGTTTCCCAGCAACATATCAGCCCAGGGTATAAATTGAACACGGCCCTGACCCCTGGACCTCACCCTCCAGTGCAGAGGCCAAGCAGAGAGGTGTGAAGAGATGGCAGTGGTGCAAACCTAGACACACACACACACA